GATTGCTTCCAGTCCAGAATGCTCCTCTCTGTTTTTGCATCCTCCTCACTAGACCTAAGTACAGGTCAACACAACATTAGAGATGCCCAATATAGCCCAAAGCTGGGTAGCTGCATAAGGTGCCTGTTTGGATCATGCAGCACCATGAGAATACCAAAGCAAGACATGAACCCCAAAATGCCTCAGTACAACTATCAGCAGGTGCTGTGCTTTGTCTATCAGAACACTTGCAAGATAAAATCGATCTTATTTTTTTAAAACCTGGGGAGGATTTTGAGCGGAGGAGGAATAATTGCTTTCCTTCCCCGCACTTGCCTATACAGCAAGAGTGCAATTCAGGTTATATTTAAGAGAAATAAAAAGAAAGAATAGTGTTTGCGGGAGTTAAATGGACATTAAACAAAAAAGTGATCATGCAAGAATAATCAGTGTTTGAGAAGAGAACAGGAAAAGAATTGGAACCAGAAATCCAGACTTGCAATGTGCAGCTGGCATTACAATTTAGTCTATCTTCCTAGACAGTAATTTTTTCATAACTCACTAGCACTGTACATATTCAGTAAAGACCAACATTCAGCTAAGGAAATTATAGCCATATAAAAGACATTCATGCCTCTTTTGTGAGCCACCACAATGCACCTTTAATAGCTCAATACATGACAGGAGAAATAAAGCTGGCGCAATCTGGCCAGACATTGCTTTTCATTATATTCAACACGGACAGAACAAGTAGTTATTTCAGAATAACAAGGAGCTTTTCCTTTCATTGTCAAAAGGTTGATTTATTTCCACTTTCTAAATCAAAACAACATACTCAACTTTAACCTATCACACCAGTTAGGCCAATCCATCATTCACCAGATTAATTGAGACGTTAAATGCACTTCACTCAGCGTCAAGTGTGAGATATGCACCTTACTAGGACAGGGAAGCACTGTGATAGGGATAGCAGATGTGAACACCATGGATTCCATGACTATCTAATTACTTTCAGCACTGATCATATCTTCATTCTGAATCTTTTTAGAAATAATGTAAAGAATTGAAAAGCATCCATTATGAATTTCTTCCAAATAATTGTGGAATTATCCAAAGTCACGGTTCCAGAACACTAAATGCAAGTTATGAATTCCTCTCAGATGTAAATTGACTGGCAATCTGTGCTTTAATGATATAGAGATAGTAGGAACTGCAGATGCTAGAGAATCCAAGACAACAAGGTGCAGGGCTGGATGAACACAGCAGGCCAAGCAGCATCATAGGAGCAGAGAGGCTGACGTTTCGGGCCTAGACCCTTCATCAGAAAAGGGGGTTCCGAAATAAATAGGGAGAGAGTGGGAGGCGGATAGAAGAGGGATAGAGGAGAGGATAGGTGGAGAGGAAACAAACAGGTCGAAGAGGCGGGGATGGAGCCAGTAAAGGTGAGTGTAGGTAGGGAGTTAGGAAGGGGATAGGTCAGTCCAGGGAGGACGGACAGGTCAAGGGGGCGGGATGAGGTTGGTCGGTAGGAGATGGAGGTGCTGCTTGAGGTGGGAGGAGGGGATAGGTGGGAGGAAGAACAGGTTAGGGAGGCAGGGACGAGCTGGACTGGTTTTGGGATGCGGTAGGGGGAGGGGAGATTTTGAAGCTTGTGAAATCCACATTGATACCATTGGGCTGCAGGGTTCCCAAGCGGAATATGAGTTGCTGTTCCTGCAACCTTCGGGTGGCATCGTTGTGGCACTGCAGGAGGCCCAGGACGGACATGTCGTCTGAGGAATGGGAGGGGGAGTTGACATGGTTCGCGACTGGGAGGTGCAGTTGTTTATTGCGAACCGGTGTTCTGCAAAGCGGTCCCCGAGCCTCCGCTTGGTTTCCCCGACGTAGAGGAAGCCACACCGGGTACAGTGGATGCAGTATACCACATTGGCAGATGTGCAGGTGAACATCTGCTTGATGTGGAAAGTCTTCTTGGGGCCTGGGATGGGGGTGAGGGAGGACGTATGGGGACAGGTGTAGCACTTCCTGCGGTTGCAGGGAAAAGTGCCGGGTGTGGTGGAGCTGGAGGGGAGTGTGGAGCGGACAAGGGAGTCACGGAGAGAGTTGTCCCTCCGGAAAGCAGATAAGGGTGGGGAAGGAAAGATGTCTTTGGTGGTGGGGTCGGATTGCAGATGGCAGAAGTGTCGGAGGATGATGCGTTGGATGGTGCTTTAATACACAGGGGTGGAATCTTCCTATTGTCCTTGATGACATAACCTAAATTGTCAACACTTGAGGGAGAAATCTTGCCTAAAATTATGACACCTTGATGTTGCCATGGAGAAAGTCACAATATCTCTAGACGCCAGGATTAATGGGCACATCCCAACATGGGATAAAAGTTAATTTCAGGAATGATGGCCATGAAACTACCACTGAATGTTGTAAAAACACATTATGTTTATCAAGGTTCTTTAGGAAGAAAATCTATCACTGTTACCTGGTCTGATCAACATGTGATTCCACACCCTCAGTAACACAAGAGTTCACCACTCCTCTGAAATAGCCCCGCAAGGCACCGAGTTCAAGGTCAGTCAGGGATGGGTAACAATATTGGCCTTACCAGAGACTACCACATTGCATGAAAGAATAATTAAATAACAAATACATCTGGTGAGACCAACTTCCTCTAAATCAGTGGAACTGCAAAAGCTAGGATTTCTTGGTTTCATTCATCATCAAATAATCCAAATATCGCATATAAATCCGACGATAAGGGAACACTTAAGTCAAAAGCTATGCTCAATAAAGAAACTAACAGCATACTATAAATAGATAGCAAGTTGTAGAGCTGGATGAACACAGCAGGGCAGGCAGCATCAGAGGAGCAGGAAAGCTGATGTTTTGGGTCTGGACCCTCCTTCAGAAATGGGGGAGGGGAAGGGGCCTCTGAAATAAATAGAGAGGGGGGAGGCGATGATGGAAGGTGGATAGAGGAGCAGACAGGTGGAGAGAAGATGGGCAGGTCAAGGCAGGGATGGAGCCAATAAAGGTGAGTATAGGTAGGGAGTTGGTATGGGGGTTGGTCAGTGAGGTGGGAGGGGCAGATAGGTGGGAGAAAAGACAGACAGGTCAAGGAGGCGGGGATAAGCTGGGCTGGTTTTGGGATGAGGTCGGGAGTGGGGAGATTTTGAAGCTTGTGAAGTCCACATTGAGGTCATTGGGCTGCAGGGTTCCCAAGTGAAATATGAGGTGCTGTTCCTGCAGCCTTCGGGTAGCATTATTGTGGCACAGGAAGCGGCCCAGGATGGACATGTCGTCCAAGGACTGGGAGGGGGAGCTGAAGTGGTTCGCGACTGGGAGGTGCAGTCATCTGTCATGAACCAAGCGTAGGTGTTCCACAAAGCAGTCTCCAAGCCTCCGCTTGGTTTCCCCGATGTAGAGGAGAGCGGATACAATATGCCAAATTGGCAGATGTGCAGGTGAACATCCATTTAATGTGGAAGGTTTTCTTGGGGCCCGGGCTGGAGGTGAGGGGGGAGGTGTAGGGGCAGGTGTAGAACTTCCTGTGGTTGCAGGGAAAAGTGCCGGGGGTAATTGGGCTGGTGGGGAGTGTGCAGCAGACGAGGGAGTCACGTAGAGAGCGGTCCCTCCGGAAGGCAGATAAGGGAGGGGAGGGAAAAATGTCCTTGGTAGTGGGGTCAGATTGCAGGTGGCGGAAGTGGCGGAGGATGATGCGTTGAATACGGACGTTGGTGGGGTGATACATGAGGACGAGGGGAATTCTATCTTTGTTGTTATTGCAGGGAAGGGGTGTGAGGGATGAGTTGCGGGATATCCACCCTCCATCATCGCCTCCCCCTCTCTCTATTTATTTCAGTGTCCCCTTCCCCTTCCCCTCCCCCATTTCGGAAGAAAGGTCCAGACCTGAAACGTCAGCTTTCCTGCTCCTCTGATGCTGCCTCGCCTGCTGTGTTCCTCCAGGTCTACACCTTGTTATCTCAGACTCCAGCATCGGCAGTTCCTACTCTCTCTGAGCATACTATAAATGCTTTGTTTTAAAAGGATGACACTAAAAAAAAAGCTAAATGATAGAAAGCAATTTTCCTTCAGAACATTGCCTTAAAAACTCCTAAAATATGGCGAATTACATACCAATTATCACCGATGCCTCACTGGCTTGCAAACAATGCATATTACTATTAAGCCTGGTCAAATTACTCTGCACTCTTGATAAAATGAATTTTATTATGCTCAATGTCACTAGAGTGTTTCAATTGCATGACCAAATTACAGTTTTCTACATCATCATGCTATTAAATAAAATTACATAAAATAAGAGTGCCGTTTATACAACAACTTCCACTTGATAACATTACCAAGACACAGATAATATACATATTAGCATTTTATTTAGTGCCTTTCATAACCTGAAATGTTGGCTAATTAAGTACAGTGTGAAGTATACCCAGTGCTGTCATGTAGAAAGATGACATTCTGTTTACATGCATCAGATGTGATAATGATCAGATAAACCGTGTAGGCTGTTGGTCACGTAATAAATATAGTCCAGGGCACCAGGATAAATCCCCTGCTTATCCTCAAAACTGAAATATGAAATTTGTTTTTACATCCTTTGTGTCTGCTGACACCCAATGTTGCATGTAACTGTACGTGTGCACAATTCTAGAATCTCTATAGCATTATGCAGAATTCTGATGGTGTTACATGCAAAAGAATTGCACATGCGCAGAACAGAAACACTGTGGAAACGAGGAGTTCAGTAGCATAGCAGAATCAGGAGGGTGGGGGAAGAGTAAATTTAAGCAGTATACCATGCATATATATGGTTTCAACATACGCAGCTTTAAGGTCTCATCTGAAAGATGGATACTTTGATTGTATGCTGCTGTGCATGTGTTGCAATAAAATGTCAGCTTACATTTTGTGCTCAAAATATCTGGCACACCATATTGAACATGAATATATTGGAAGTAGATTTATTTTTCCTTTTCTCTCAAACACATAGTTTGCTCTTTTACCTGTGATGACCTGAATGTTTCACTCCTTTTATATGTCCAATCCCTTTACATCCTGGAGTGGGACATCCTCCTTGCTCAGAAGCTTCCACCAAGTCTAATGGGCCTGTTTGCAGCAAAAAAAAATCCAACTGTTAAATCTACAATCTGTCAATCAACATTTTTATAGTGCAGTACATGCAGTATCAGGGTTTAGATTCTGACTGAATAATGAAAAGTATATTAGCTTTTACTCCTTTGAATGTAATCACTATTCAGAAAGCAAAAATAAGACTCATTCTTTTGAGCTGGCAGAATATTCTACATTTTATAACTCTACTGCATTTTTCTCCAAACAGAAATACCCAATACAAATCGTTAAAACAAATTCAGCATGAATCTTCCTTTCTGTAAATCAGAGGAATTATGCCACGTAACGCTAAACCACTGTCAAGAAGCTGTGAGTTAGACTGGAAATCTTCCTGTTTTATATGGACCACTTGCTCACCTGACTCAATTGTTAAGTCACTTGTGACATTGGAGGATAATCAAGGCACTGTCCTTTCAGAGTCTTTCATTCATCTCTGTACACCCCTTTGGATTTCAGAAATATATTCCAGTTCTTTTGAAAAGCGGCAGGAAGAAAACCGGTTTGATTTGATCCATCGTCTAACAGAAAGGTTTGTTCCATGTAGGAGTCAGGAAAATAGATTATCAAGCAACGGAAAGGACTAAAAACTGTGCCTGCAGGTTCAACTGCTTTCAAAGATTTACAGAAGCTGAATGATCTAACACTCTCTCTCACTCATTTAAATATCATAACTAAATGAATGCCAAAGACTTGTAAAAATGTAGACAAATGGGAAACTATAATCCCACATTGATACCAGCTTGTGCGAGAGAACATGTTAGGTTAAACTGCTAAATTAAGTAAAGGAAGCTTCATTAAAGCATGTCAATTATTCTGCTTCTAGATAGCATTGAAAGAGATTTTGTGTGTTTCTAGCTGAAGAAACTATAGCTTTAATAGAATATGATTAGTTTTGTTTTGCCTAATGGATGTTGTCTGTTAAAGGATGATTAAAAGAAGTAACTTGTTTGCAGTCATGTCATTAGCCATATAGACAATGTCTTGGTTTTTCCCTAATTGAAAATCAGCCAACGATGATAAACAAAAAAAAAAACTTGCACTAATATTGACAACACAGTGTGGAGCTGGAGGAACACAGCAGGCCAGGCTGCAGAGGAGCAGAAAAGTTTACATTTCTGGTCGGGACCCTTCTTCAGAAATCTTGAGAAACGTCAACTTTCCTGCTCGTTCCTCCAGCTCCACACTGTGTTGTCTTTTACTTCAGCATCTGCAGTTCTTGCTATCTATTGCACTAATATTGCTGTACCAGTTACCAAGTCAGAATTACAAAACACATTACTGCTATAAACAGATTGAAAGTTTTGAAACAAATCTCTCTTCCTATTCTCATCAACTGTCAGTAGATTGTGATTTAGTTTTTCCCCGTTTTGTAAACAGTGGAGTGTATTTCCTCTCTCCCTCTGTGTAAGGACAATGACTATACTACTTTAAAGTTTAAAACAGAAGCTGAGTTTATTTCATACACATGTTGGTGTTGTTGTAGGGGTGGGGACAGTGGGGAGATAGGGAGATAAATTCACAATACAGGTATACTTAAATATACAAAGGGAAGATCAACAAGAATAACAATATTATTCAAGTAGCAACAGCTTAAGTACAAAACAACCAAGGATACCAGTTTATCAGTGTCCTTAGTTTTAAGATGGAGTACAAAGTTCAAAGCTGGAGTTAGCATTCTGGAATTTCTTTATGGAGTGGTTAATTGGCTACTTGGCAATTCAGGAGTCAGAGACAACTTAAAATTTCTGCAAGCATCTTATGACGCATATTGCTGAAATATAATTCCTGCTTTGACAAATGAAGGTGGACTACTTGAAGACAGCACAAATAAGGCTTTGTCTGCTTTTTATGAGTCAGAGTTTTCAGTTAGAGCCAGGAGTCAGGGGATTTGAGATTGTCAGTAGATACTACAAAGCAGCATTGACACCTTAAGTGACCACTATTTCAAAACTGAACAAGCAAAGGACAGCTGTATTCAACACTATGGGAGACATGTGATCAAGCTTCTTGAAGTGGTCGTGGCGGTGGAGGGACAGTGGCCAACTGTTAGAGGTCAAGTGGGATATCATCAACGCATCATCTTATAGGATAGGGATAACGTAATTCTATCAGATTGAGAATTTTTTGGGAATGATCCAGTTCTGAGGCAATTTTCGACGCAACAGTTAGCATTCCAGTTCCATCAGGAAGTACATGAGATATAGACTGTCTGGCTGACAGACTTCTGAGAAGCTTTGGAAACTTCCTGCTAAGTCCAGTCACATGATTAAACAACCCAAAGACGGCTGCTAAAATTAGCTTGTAAAACATTCATAAATATAAATATAGTATATATTGAAACTATTTTGCTTTAAAAATAATTTGTGATATTAGTGAAAAATTCTTCTGGTTCATGTAGATTATAAAAGTCAACATTCCAGATGGCTTTGAGCTCTTCCAACTCGAAGCATTCCCATGATCATGACAATACTGCTAAACTTTCCACTGATCGCCTCGTCAGTAGCTGTTAGGAAACTCTTCAGCAGAGTCATCTGGAGTTGGAACACCAAGAACCCCACACAGCCTTCCGTAACTGCTACACCAGTACAGAGTTCATCAGTTGCAGGTTTGAAGCTTCAGCTGACACAGTTAGCATCACTACAATCCTTAAAGTAAAACAATGCTGGAGATCGGAAACAAAAACAAATTTCTGAAGAAACTCAGCAGGTCTGGCAGCATGAGTGGGAAGAAAGTAGAGTTAACATTTTGAGTCCGGCAACTCTTCATCAGAGTCCGTGGCAAGAACCAGTGTATGCACTCTTCTAGTGTGGGAAGGGTGCAGCACTGCAGCTAGCACATATCAAGCATGGGCCAATCTGAAGACACCCTGCACTTACTGCCTGCCTGCCATAGGTATATTGGAAGGATTTGCAGGTTGTAATCAATCTGTTTGGCCAAGTTATGAACATATCTTCCATGAATGTTCACATATCTGACCTCCAGAATGTGAAGGTTTGCTCTAATTTCCAATAATGTGCATTGCAACATATTGTCATCTTTTCAAGTCTGGGACTTAGATATCCACCTTCAGCACAGTTGAACCACACCCTCAACACGATGCTCCACGAATCTCCAGTACAATGTCATACACCAGCCAAACTTATAATGAATTATTTAATCCAGGTCCTCAAATGATGATTTCACAAAGACAAACTAAACCACGACTGATTCTTCAAGCTCAATTATTGATCAATATAGGTCAGACCTCTGACTTTCTTCAACCATATCCCCTTTATATAAGGACTCTACCTAACAGCTTGCACCTGGATCCTATATATATTATATTTATATGCTGCCTTAATGATTAAATATCTAATTGTTGCTTTCTTGTATGACAGAGTGTTTATTTAACAGCAAAATACTTCTACAAGGAAGCACTGAATGCGTTCAGATCTACTTTCAATCAAGATATATTGTGGTGCTGACATTGTCTACATTCACTAGGTTACTCCTTCCTTTGAAATGTGACACAGAACCCAGGGTATCAAAAGTGTGATGTATGTTAGATATTTCACTTTCAAGATGGACATTCAGTGAATCCAAAACTACTTCAAAAGAAAAACAAAAAGGTTTGATAATACAGTCTGTGATTACTTTGAACAATGGCAAAGTTCAAGAAATAATGAATCCTCAAGATTTACTATCTTAATATTGTTAATCCTGAATCAAAGACTCTGCTGAAATTATTCTTATATTTTCTACATATAACACAAGTTAATGTGCTTTGGAAAATATATTATCCAAAATAAAATGTCAGTTCAAACATTATGATTATTTTTCAATCTCCTGGCCAGTGACCTTCAGATAGTAGCCTATGAATATTTCCCAAGATTATCCAGTTTCATTAAACCTGGGAGAGTTGCAATTTTAATAGTGATGCAAGATGTCTTCAATGCCAAAGGCCAAACTTTGCACAATCAAACGTAAAAACTGCAAAATGGGAACATGTATAACTATACTCATATTAAATATACCCCAAAAGATGATAAATACGTTCACAAACACAGCTGGAACAACATTATTTTGTTTTTCCCTGTTGGGATGACCATTACCCAGCAGTGATACAAGTGATTTGATCAAGCATAATCTTATATTACTGCCAACCATCAGCTATCAGATTTCCAGATGTATTTGTTACACAAGATAAATGTTATTGTCGATGTGGAGAAGGTGCCAGGGAGCATACTGGAAACAATCACAGGCAAAAGCAGGGATATAGATACTCTGCCAACCTTAAAAGATATTTTCTAATCAACCTGTTCAGACACACAATTATACACCTCTGGTGCAAGTGGGACATGAACATGGGTACCTGGTCTCAGATGTAGGGACACTACCACTGCACCACAGGAGCCCAACTTTAATAGTCTAATTTAAATAATATGTTGCAGATGACCAAATGATAACTGATCAAATTAACAACATGGTCTGCAGGTGAGAGGACATGTAAATGATGTGGGGGTTGGGGGGGCCTCAGCCTCGTAACTATGTGAATGGAACTGAGCTGTCAATATAGTTTGGAAGCTTCAAGGTGTTACTTGGGTTGGAACAGGACAAAGACAGTAGAGAACGTTTGGGCACAGGGTAAGAAAACACTGGGGATACGATCAGAGTTAAGGAACGCTGGAGGCTTGCTTGTGAGACCAGAGATGTGTGATTTAACAAATGGCCATCTGCAAAGGGAAAGTTGAGGTATATTGTTTTGTTGAGCTTCTTTTACTTATTTTATTAGAAAAATATTTCATAGATGGAGCTTACTGATAGGTGGTTGAAGAGGGTGTCCAGTTTTAGCACACCAGCCTGCAGGATGGATATCAGGACTATCAGCATCAATCCAGTAATCATAATCATAGTTCCAGCCATCAAAATGTATCTAGATAAACAATGAGAAGAATACAGTCAAACTTAAAAACACTAGAATATTAGAGTAATTGAATTTTTCACTAAACATAAACAAAAAACAAGAATAGGCCACTCAGCCCTTTGAGCCCGTTCTGCCCTTCAATGAGATCATGGCTGATCTAATCCTCAACTCTTCTTTCCTGCATTATCCCAACAATCTTTCATTCGCTTAGTAATCAAGAATCTACCACCGCTTTTAAAAACATTTCAAGATTCGGCATTCACCGCCTTTTGAAGGAAATTCCAAACATTCACACTTCTTTCATCTTTCTAATGCAGTTTGATCAAATTGGGTTCATTGACAATGTATTCTGCTGCATCTCTCTAAGTATAGTTTTATATGGCCTTTTGCTACAAATTGCTGTAATTATCTCCTTGTTACCTTTATCATCTTAAATGAGCGATCACTTATTTTTAAACTGTGACTCGAACTCGAGTTCGAGATTCTTCAACAAGTGGAAACATCCTTTTAACATCCACCTCAAGAGTCACTTCTGACTCTTTTGAACTCCAGAGGATACATGCCTAGTCTGTCTAGTGTTTCCTCATTCCATGTATTAGCCGAATAAACTTTCTCTGAACTGCTTTTCAATACATTAACATACATAGAAATGGCAAGCTATTTAAATGCACTGCCCTGTAAATATTGAAAAAAAGATTGCCTGCGACTGAATTGAAAAATAATCTGTTCCAGCACTTCTACAGCTGTTTATTGACAAAATTCCCAATGTTATCATTATAGCATTATTAATGCATGATTGCTGTCCATGGTGCAATCATTACCAAAGCAAGGGGCTAAAAGTTCACAGTTTTACTGCCATCTCAGAGGTTAAATTTCTTAGCTGTCTTTGTGGTTAATGAACACTGTTATTTGTTCATAAAAGAAATTATGTAATACATAAAATTATGTATTGAATGGGCTGTTATGAATGAGAATGCTTCATATGTATTACTTATATACTTACACAGTGAAATTTGTAATAGATATTTAGAACATTAGTTTCTATTTATAGGACAAATGATGATGGGAGGTAGAATGAGTTGGCACTAAGTTGGCATAGAGCTATAATGAACCACAGGGATGGATGGGGTATTAACATATATCAGAATAAGAATTGAATGGGGAAGGTGGGGGGGAGTTGGACTGGAGGGCTTTAAGATAGCAACGGAGGCTAGCCTTTTAAACAACCTTTCTTGCTGCTCAGCATCCCTAACGGCCATGGCCGATCTGGATTTGGGATTGGTGAGCGTATTATGTCAAATATGCTCGCTTTTTTAAAAAAGCTCTTTTGTGTTTTCATGTTGCTGATGCTCACTCTCATTCAGTAACTTTTTACAGTTTGCTGTCTCACTCAATTCACCACTTACACATACTTCCCTGGGAAGATGGCAGGGTACCAAAGGAAATCTTTGTCTGCTTTAAATCTTCCATTTTCCTTTCTTTAAAATTCCTGAAAGGCTTGAACTCAACATTTCAAATTATTTTCCTTTTTCAAAAAAATCAAATTCGGATGAGGAAGGACACTGATTCTCTCCATTTCACCCCCTTCCGTTTCAGGTATCAGTAATTAGTACGCTTTTTTCAAAAATCGTCAAAAAGATGAAAAAAAAAAATAATTTGGAAGCAAGCAAAAAAAAAACTACGTAAAATCAGAATCATTAGAGAAACTCAGTAGTAAAATTTAACTAGTTCCTATTCTTTCAGGAAGTGGGTACGGGCTTAAAATCCAGGCTCAGTGTAATTTAACCATTTAGGTACTAAAGAGAGTTGTGCACAGTACATGTGCTTCAAACAAAAGTTTGTGTAGAACTAACAGTGCTGCTTCAGACAAGTGGAACACCTGTTTGTTTCAGAGACCTTGAAGGAACCATGCCCCAAAATCTTCTGGGGAAGCTCTTCTCCTAATCATGTCCATTCTCACACTGCTCTGCATTTCTGGCTGTCTTCCAAACCTGGCTTTTCCAGAAATGTGGTGGGTACTTTCAATCAAAGAGTTTCATCGCTATAGTGGAGCTATGTGGCAGGAGGGGAGGGTACAGAAGGCTGAACATGCCCCTTTTTATGGCACTGACTGCTGTAATGGAAGTTTAAAACGTCCACTGTGAATGAAAGGAAGTGGGTAAACGGACATGGTTGGATGAGTAGCCAGATCAGGGATAGCCAGGTTGGAATGGGTGGGTGTGAAAATTGGGATTCCAAGGTATTAGTGGTATATGATGTAGCCAGGTGTCAGTGGGGAAAGGCAGGGGGTTGCAGGGCGGGGGTGGTGGGGGAATCAGGGCTGTCACTGAGAAGGACTTTGGGATCATATCTATAGATTTTCTGCAGCTTGATGAAGAGGAATTTTCTGTCTAACATTTCCTAAAATGAAATAAGTTGGAACAAACCGAAAAGGTTCCAACTCTAGTTAAAAAGGTTCCTGGAAAACAGGAGAATTGCCTGTCAGAAGATCAAACTTCCGGGGCAATTCCCACAGAGGTCAGTGTGTCAGAACTTTTGTGGGGTCCACATGTATATCTTGGCTCTTCTGTCAGGTGTCCAACAGACCTGAAGATCTGGACCAATGATAACTTATTAAAAAAAGGCAACTCGCTATATAATTTTTATTATGTTATGTGGAACAGTTCATTTATTTTTGCACAAAGAAATTCTACTTAGAAAAGAGATGAATATTCAATATTCAGAAAACATTTTGAACTGGTGAGATGAAGATAATACATTGCCACCTGGTGGTTAGAACCTGTAATTTCACAAAATAGGAGCCTGTTAACAGGACTTCACCACTGTAAGCACAGTAAAAAAAAATTATAGTGACTAATACCAACATGGAGGTCTGACAAAAATGAGAAACAACAAGATCTTGTAGAGACAATATGTACTCAATATATTGTTTTTAATAAATGATACATTGGTGCATTAATGAACACGATGGTTTAGGATACTGAGAAACCATTTGATCTTTCAAGTAAAAACAGGTTTAATGAGTTGTGTACGTCTATATGAGTTACGGCATTCTCAATTCTGCTTCTCATGGGTTCTGCCTCCAACACAAAACACATTAATTAGTAATTACACTCAAATGACCTCTAAGAAATCTAGGGTATTCATCACACGTTTCACTCAAAAACATGCATTTATATATCACCTGTTAGGACTCTGAGGTGTCTGTGTTTCACAGCCAATGCAGCACTTTTTAAAAGTGTGGTCAGTTTTGCAACATAAGAAAAAACAGCACAGGTCCCATAAACAACAATCAAAATAAATAATCAAATGATTAGTTGCCAGTTACGTTAATTTATGCTGATCTTCAATTATTAGCATGAGGTTTGTTGCGCCTACTTAAGGGGACAGCTAAGGCCCTGGTTATTGCCTAATCTAAAAGACTCCGTCAGAGCAGCAATCCTATTCTTCTGCACTGAAATGTCAACCTGACTGGGAATGTGGGACTCCAAAGCTGTCCTTTCCAGTAACCGAACAGCTGTGATAAAGCCAATGCCTATTAAAATTAAGCTCATAATGGGACTTTTTAAAAGGTTTACTTTCAGCCACAAACCAAACCAGGCCCCTAATCCTGTCTTCATTTAATGAGTAATGGCAAAACTGGGACTATAAACAGTAGTCAATTTTACCACACCTCAAATGAGTACCATCATTTCTATCCAGCGTGAAAAAGGGATAGAAACAAGGTTTTGTCAATCAGCATGATTCAGAACTGTGTTGCTCATTTCATTTATCCATTGAAACAGTTGATTCACCATTTTTAAACCACAACCACTTAATAAATCACAAGTCAATCTAAATGACTATGCATTTCAGACACGACATCAAGACAATCCAAATTCCATACGCAATAACCTACCTTTACTCTGTGATCATCCGTGTCTACAACTGTTGCTACTCTAATCAGCATTGGATTCCGCTTATCAACAGCCTCAAGTTTCATGTTTGGTAGAAATCCATGCATGGGGCGCTGAAACAATACAGGGCATTACAATACAGATCATTGATTTGCAAATTATTTTTCACAGGCAGCCTTGACAAGACTTGATGGATAGGTAAAATTCCATACTCTGAAGTTTTAATTTTGAACTGTGTATAGCGGACATAAAATATTAAAATTGGAACTTAACACTCGCATTCAAAAATACACCAAATTTTACTCTAGAACAAAACATTGTACTAAGAACAATTCTTAATTTTTAGATTAGATGCTGCATGAGTTGAGCAGGATGAGAATTTGCTTAAACACTAGGGAATTAAATTTACCAACATAAGAACTTGGAGCAGCAATAGCTAATTTAGCTTCTCAAGCCTGCTCTGCCATTCAGCATGATCATGGCAGGGGTTGATTCAGCACAGTTGGCTGGGATGGTTGGTTTGCTAAGCAGTGTGATGCAGACAGCGTAGTAATCCCTGCACCAGCTGAGGTTGAGAAGGAGAGTCCTTCACGGTTACCTCTCCCCTCGCCAGAGGTTTGGTGGCCCTCCGGTTAAATCACCAACAGTCATCCCTCTCTAATGAGAGAGCAGCCGTATGGCCTGGTAAAACTATGGTGACTTAACTTGACTTGATGATCATAGCTGATCTCATCTCAGCCTGAACTCCACTTTCTTACCTGCTGTCCAGAACCCCTCAGCCCATTACTAATTAAAAATCTGTCTATCTTCTCAAATTTATTCAGTATCTCAGAATCCACTGCACTTTGGGCTAATGAATTTCACAAATTCACAACTCTTTCAGAGGTCATGGCACCTCATCGCTGTTTTCAATCTGCTACCCCTTATCCTAAAATTATGACCTCTCATTCTAGATTGCCCCACAAGGGTGGGGGGATAGAATTGCTCTACGTCTACTTTGTCAGTTCCCTTTAATATGTTATACACCTCAATTACATCTTCTTTCATTCTTCTATACTCCAGACAATACAGGCCTAAATTGCTCAATCTGATTTCATAAAATAAACCTTTCACCTTTAGAATTAATCTAGCCAATCTCCTCTGAACTGTCTCCAATGCACCTACATCCCTTCTTAAGTAAAGGGACCAAAACTGTACACATTCCTCCAGGTGTGGTCTCACCAATGTCTTGTACAATTGCAGCAACGCTTCCCTGCTTTCTATATTCTATTCCTTATGCAATAAATGCCAAAATTCCATTTGCTGTCCCTTATTTCCCACTGTACCTGAATATTAGTTTTCTGCAGTTCATGCATGAAGACACCTAGCTCCCACTGCGTCGAAGCACTATAGTTTCTCTCCATTTAGATAATAAGTTGCCTTTAGATTCTTCCAATAAAAATGGATAATCTCACACTTATCCACATTAAACTCTATCTGCCAAATTTTGGTCAATTCATCTACGTTCTCTATTTGTATATTTCTTTATTGAACTTTGCTTTCCCCTCGATTTTAGTGTCACCTGCAAATTTGGCTACCATACCTTCTATTCCTTCATCCTAATCGTTAATATAGATTGCAAAATGGTTGGGGCCTGAGGGCCGAACTCTGTGGCACCCCACCAGTTACATCTTGCCAACCAGAAAAAGACTCATTTATTGCAACTCTGTCTTCCTACTCATTAGCCAATCTTTTATCCAAGTTAATACATTACCCCTAACTCCACATGATCTGTAAGATTGCCATTTACTTTTATTCTATAAAAATCAAAGTCAAAAGTGATTTCCTTTTATAATATGACAATGTGTTCAAGTAAATTTTTTTTAAATCGGATATAACAAAACTTGTGTGAACAGCATCATTCATTTATTTTGTGTTACTTACTGATTTAAATGCCCGTGCAGGAGCAGGCAGAGAATTTGTTTCTTCCAAGTACTTCTCCCATGTAAACCGTTTAGGATCATGATAATCTATAGCAAATGAAATAAATTTATCTTTAAACATTCTAGTTCTACAAATAACTCTCATCACATATTATTGTTCTCTCTCTGCCATCCCACTACATCTTTTCTATTTGTCCTAAAGTAAGCCATGACTCTTTTATTCACCCTTATTCACCTGGTATCTAATTACATATCCAAAAACACACTTTGAATGTTTAAGCTGATCTAAAAAGTTTTGATTAAAGAATGGGTGAAGATCAGGTACTAAAGCTAATTTTGCAGCATTTTAAAAGCTCATATCAATAAGGCAGCCAAATATAAATCTGTTATAATATCCTTAAGGATTACCACTAGAGAAATGATTTTGCCTTTTATAACCAATATCTCAATTGTTCCTATTTGCATTAATTCAACTGCACTTCTACAATATCAAAATTGCAATATAATATGCATCAACATTTTATAACTATTTATCAGATACTGACAATTTGATAAGGCAGTTTTTTTTTCAGAATTAACTACGGGGTGTCCTCACTTGAAATTGGGGTTGCACCGGTGAGAATTTTAAATTGAAGTTAAAAGTGAAGCACTGATTGCTACAGAAATGTCCATTAAAACAGAAGTTAGGCTTAGTAGGAAACAGAAATTGCTGGAGAAACTCAGCAGGTCTGGCAGCATCTGTGGCGAGAAGTACAGTCAATATTATGGATCCAGTGAAAAAGAAATGTTAACTCTGCCTTCTCCCCACATTTGCTGCCAGACCTGCCAAGTTTCTCCAACAATTTCTGTTTTTGTTTCAGACCTTCAGCATCCACAGTTCTTAGCTTTTTTGTTTTGGTTCTCTAGGGTCTTCATTAGCAGAGAAAAACATTAAAACATCACACCATAACTGCCAGGTTGAAATATAATGCCACCCTGTAACAAACAGCTAAATTCTTACAATGATAATGAAGTAACTAGAAAACCAAAATAAACTAAAAAAAAGTACCAGTACCTGTTCTACAGGATTTAGGATTGACCAGGCTCCATCTAGTGACAGAGGTTGGTCAGTGCAGTTGGACTTCCAGTAATCAAAACACAACATAGGACAGTTATAGAGCTGTACAGCATGGAAACAGACCCTTGAGTCCAACTCATCCATGCTGACCAGATATCCAAAATTAATCTAGTCTTATTTGCCAGCATCCCTCTAAACCATCCCTATTCATGTATCCATCCAAATGCCTTTTAAATGTTGTAATTGTACCTGCCTCCACCACGTCCTCTGGCAGCTCATTCTATACACATGCCACACTCAGCATGAAAAACTTGCCCCTTAGGTCCCTTTTAAATCTTTCCCCTCTCCCCTTAAACTTATGCCCTCTAGTTATGGACTCTTCTATCCTGTGGAAAAGACGTTGGTTATTCACCCTATTAATGCCCCTCATGATTTTGTAAACTTCCTTAAGGTCACCCCTCAGCCTCTGATGCTCCAGAGAAAATAGCCCCAGTCTATTCAGCATCTTCCTATAGCTCAAACCCTCCAGGCCCTGGCAACATTCTTGTAAATATTTTCTGAACCCTTTCAAAGTTTCACAACATCCTTCCTATAGCAGGGAAACCAGAATTGAATGCAGTATTCCAAAAGTGGCCTAATCAATGTCCTGTACAGCTGTAACGTGACCTCCCAACTCCTATACCCAATGCACTGACCAATAAAAGCAAGCATGCCTTCTTCACTATCCTGTCTACCTGTGACTCCACTTTCAAGGAACTATGAACCTACACACCAAGGTCTCTTTGTTCAGCAACACTCCCAGGACTTTACCATTAAGTGTATACATCCTGTGCTGATTTGCCTTTCCAAAATGCAGAACCTCGGATTTATCGAAATTAAACTCCATCTGCCACTCCTCAGCCCATTGGATCAAGATCCCATTGTTCTCTGAAGTGACCTTTCCCACTGAGTTAACGTTCGAGTTCAGTTCTGAGGAAGGGTCACCAGGCCCAAAACGTTAACTCTGTTTTTTCCTTCACAGATGCTGCCAGACCTGCTGAGCTTTTCCAAGCGACTTTGTTTTTGTTCCTGATTTACAGCATCCGCAGTTCTTTCGGTTTTGACCTTTCTCACTGTCCACTACACCACCAATTTTGGTGTCAACTGCAAACTTACTAACCATACCTCCTAAGTTCACATCCAAATTATTTATGTAAATGACAAAATGCCATGGACCAGCACTGATCCTTATGGCACACCACTGGTCACAGACCTCCAATCTCAAAAGGAACCCTCACCACCATCCTATGTCTCCTATCTTCAAGCCAATTCTGTATCCAAATGGCTGGTTCTCCCGATATTCCATGTGAGCTTGTTTTGTTAACTTTCTCAGATGCTCTGCAATTTTCCTAGAATGAAAATATTTTCTAGCTGGACTGCAAATATACTAACAGATGTTGCTTATATACTGGTGAATAAATCACTTGCTGACGTCAACTGAAATACTTCAACATTAGTATCATGCAAATGGAACATGTGGAAGAGGAAGATTTACCCAGTCCTGCCCCAGCATTGTCATTTATCAACATTGTCTAATACACCTTGTTTAGTGCACAATCTGTATTTCAGTAAACATTACTATTGAGAGACGAGACATTGTTCCTGCGTTTTTTACTTTGGTGACAGCACTATCATTTTTTTTTCCCTGATTTGGAACAAGATTTGATGGATTTCTGCTCTGGCACAGAATTCTGTGGTTGTGATTGCGTTTTCCAAACCTGCTCACGCAAATCAACAAATCTTGCAAGATTTCTGGCTTATTAAAATTCAGGTGGCAGCTTCTGCTGATCACCAGGAGGGATGCTAGGATGTAAAGCTTCACATCAGGAGGGCAGGTTTGTTCAATCCATCATACGTAACGCACAGTGTCAAGAGGACAGTCACCTGGGGGTTTTGTAAGGGTTTTCCCCTGCTGCAGGCACCATCCCACTGGGTGAATGTAAGGACTAGTGGCATCACACCTGAAAAACAAACCATTCGTAGCACCACAGTGAAGTTAAAACATGTATATCAAAGTAAATGTAAATAATAAACCGCTGCTAACATTCCACGACTGCAACCTCACTAGAAGTGACAGAAACCCCCCCATATTCCATACGCGTCACACTTCCATTAAGTTACGCCGAGCGAGGAGCGGAGGAAAGTCCAGGCCACTTCGTCAGAATTGCAACAAGATTTATGTCATGGATTTTGTTCCATGGCTCACAGCTGAAGTCTTTTGATATTTGTCAGCTTTGTAGCTTACTAAATTTTCATGACACACTCTTCTAGCCATGCATTTTTGAGACAAAAGGCCCGTCTTTGGGTGAAGTGGAGAGTATGCCTTCCAGTAGCGACACTAAACAAGGAGACACTTTCATCTCAGGAATGCATCGTGAGCATCTGAAATGGCTGTGGAAGTTTTCAGTTTCATAAGAGGTTTCTGGGCAGCCTTGACACACCTTCTCAATACAAAGCACGTTGGCTTTCTTGAAGAGAGAAAAGGTTTAAA